AATAATAATAATAATAATAATAATAATAATAATAATGATGATGATGATGATGATGATAATAACAAAAGAGACAAAAAAGCAAAAAAAAATTTAAAAAACACAAAAAACACAAAAAAAATATGAGTATTGAGGGGATATTAATCAAACCTGAAGGGGATACTGGATCTTCCAGGATTTATTGTGGACTGTTGTTGATATATGCTGTACAGTAACAAACAAAACAAAACGCGTTGAAACTGAACTGAACCTTGTGTAGAATGAAAAACAAACAAGCAAACCAACAAAAAGATTCCACGCGCAAACACTTACCACGAGCATTGTTACTCATTTTGTAAAATATTAGTCTTTATTTTCATTTTTTGTAAAACTTAAAACATCGTATGCGCATTTGTTGATATATGCTGTACAGTAACAAACAAAACAAAACGCGTTGAAACTGAACTGAACCTTGTGTAGAATGAAAAACAAACAAGCAAACCAACAAAAAGATTCCACGCGCAAACACTTACCACGAGCATTGTTACTCATTTTGTAAAATATTAGTCTTTATTTTCATTTTTTGTAAAACTTAAAACATCGTATGCGCATAAAGGAAAAAAAAAAGAAACGAGAATTAGGGGAAAATAACATTTTCCAAATAATTATAAAAAAAATTGTCCTGTGTCTATGTATCTATATCTGTTTTGTATTTTTTTCTGGTTCCAAACCAGGTTTCCTGTGATTCTATACTAATAATTTTTGATATAACCCTTTGCTTCTTATAATGAGTGCGATATATGTTGTCGAAGCTGTTCTTCAAGAATTAAAATTGAAGTGAGAATTTAAACAAAAATAAAAGAATTTAGCAAAAAAAATCAACTTATCACCCCACAACCCATGAGTCTTGTTGCTTGAAACATGCCAACAGTTCACAAAAAAAAAAAAAAAAAAAAAAAAAAAACAAAAAAAAAAAAAAAACAAAAACAAACAAAACCAACAAAAAAAAAATCTCCCTGGATTTTTAACTCCTGTACTGGTGTTAAAAGGGAGAACTTAAAAAATACTTGTGAGGGGTAACCAAGTTGTGTAAACCACGTGATGTTCCAAAACTGACTTGACTGTGTGAGCTTAGGGCTGAGCTGTCCAGGCCTAGGAAGAGGGAGCGGGAGGCGCGGTGCGATGCCGTAGGTGACCTCGCCTTGCTGGAACTGCAGGGCAGACTCTCCACCCCGGGCCGAGGGGCCCGTCACGCTGGCCTACCCTCTTTCGAAACACCTTTTCCCATCAGCTGGAGTATCTGCTGAGTTCACACCTTGCCGCTTGCTCTCAGACACCATGGGCATGGATTGAAGTCGCCGTATGCCACCATCGCTGCGCGTGCAGGCGGGAGGCATACTGCAGCCATGGCCCCTGCTTGTCGCGGGCATGGTGGCTTTCTGCTTTTGGGGGCTCGGGGTGGGTTGTTTTTTTGTTTGGTTTTTTTTTTCTTCTTTTCTCTTCTTTTCCACCCCAAGGACTCGCAGACTCCAGCGTGCGCTCCGGTGTGCACGCCTTGCGCTTGCTGTCAGCCGAAACATCCCTCTCGTTCTTTCTCCTGACTCCAGTCGCTGCGCGTGGAGGGTATTCCCAGCCCATTAATATAGAAATCCGACTGGATGCTTGCTCGTTGGGTGGCGAGCCAGCGCATTTTGTGCGTGCTCGTGTGCCATGGCCAGGCACAAAACACGGGCCGTGGCCCCCCACACCATGGCCACCCACCGCAGGGGCCCGAGCTCCATGCCAAAAGCCCCGCTTCGTTTCGGCTCACCTCTTTTGCAAAGAAAATTAAAAATCGTTTCTGTAATGGAGCTCCTTTGAAGGTAAAGGCTTCACAATGCTTCTAGCTGGTGGTGCAGATCTCTGTAACAGCTTTCAGTGCATTAATGTTTTATAGGATCTGAGACGGAGCTGTAAGAACACATACTACCAAGGGAGCTCTTTCTTAACGTATTAATAAAGCTGGATCTTTAAAAATAACATCCCCCCCCTTCACGCAGACACCTCCCGTGCCCTCCAAACGAGCCTGGATGAGGCAGGCTTTTCAGTTTGTGGAGTCATGGGCAATGTTTTCCTTTTAATTTGCTGTCCTCCATACTCTCCTTCTCTCTCTCTCTCTCTCTCTCTCTTTTTTTTTTTGCATTAACAAGATCCTTCAATCCAACCCGCTTGGGGTTTTTAATATTCTAGGCGCAGCAGATCCGAGGCGAGAGCAGCTCTATACAGTAGACACTTATAGCTGGATAATCAACATTGCGGGCAGATCCTCTATGGGGGTAGAGCCCGTTTCAGGACGGAGAAGCGGCCTGTATTCATAGGTGCTGTGGGGGGGGAACGGGTGATTTCAGACCTGGGCACACAAGGACGGGAATTAGACAGACAGACAGACAGACAGACACCCTCCCTTTTCTCACTCGCATGGACGCTGCATAGGCGACAGCTTTGTTCCTCGCCCCGGTCGCCTTCCCCGGGCAGAGGGGGTCCAGCAGCCCCTCCGGGCTGCCAGCCGGGAGCGGGCG